GCCATGCCGTAGTTCAATAGTTTGCAGTCTGGCCCGTTGCCACAGCGGTCGGTGCAGCCAAATTTACACACGCCACCAATGACATTTTTGCATACAGTCATTTGATACCGGAAGAAAAGTTTTCATTTCCTCTCCGTTCCTTCTCATCTTCCTCCTGAGGTCTACTTCACGCCTTGCGCCGTCCTCCCGCCATTTCCGAAAAGAAAATAAAATACTATTAAAATGTCATGCTCCTCCTCTCTTCGCTACAGTTTCTCTCTTCCAGCTCAAATTCTTCCAAGAAGAAACTTTGCAAAGTTTCGTTGAAGAGGAGACCGAAATATTTTGTAATGAATCTCGAAACACTTCATTTTTTCGGTGAAAATTTATAATCAGTTTAACCCAGTAGTATGATTCGCCAGTGGGTTTTTTGACAGAGTTTTGTTGCAAAAGACAAATTTGCATGTATGCTTCAAATAAAAATTTGGTCAGTGCGTGCAAATTCGACTTGTTTTTATCTAAAGTTATAGACTGAGATTCAGCGAAGTAAGAAGGCTGTTGGAAGCAAGTTCAGGAAAGCCAAGAACTCATTTCCCATCGCATTTCAGCCGATTTGACTGCAGAACTGAGAAAGGATGAAAGGCACACGAAAATAAACTCGTTGGAATGCTGTTTGCAATTGCGTAAATGCAAAAAACGTGTAAAAACTATTAATAATAGATGTGAATTTAGAAATGCTGCAGTTTCTCTGAAAAAAATGTTTCAAACAGGATTGCGAAAAAAGACGCGTACAGCTGCGTTTTGATGGCAGCTGTAGCGATTACAAAAATTTCGTCATTTCGAATGAATAGTAAGGATTTTTGAATTACATAAATTATTTTCAAACTCTTCATTTTCAAATTTTTTCTAAGTTGGTCTGCGTATGAAGCAGTGTTCAATGGATTCCTTAAAGATTTCTTCACCTATTAAAAATGGAAAGATTGGAACCTCGGATGTTAGGCGAGTGTTTTTTGACGACTGTGGATTTGTTTCTCGAGTGATCTTCTTGAAAGCGCCACCGCGCGATCTAAATTACATGGACTTGTTTCTTTTGCGTTATTTATTTTGTCTTCCCTAATATAAAAATTATAGGATTAAACCTGGGCTGTCGAATCCAAAAAGCGCTGTTACTTCCTGAATAGTGCGATGAGGAACCGGAACTTCCGGAAGATACTGTGTGATTAATGCAGTTCAGATCGTGTGCACTGGAATGTGCGTAGCCATCGTAACGGTTTGTGTTGCGGTGCTCACCGCTGGCCGATGAGGACGATGTGTTCGAGGCTGAAATCAGCGGATTCTTTGGCACAAGCGATTAAGGCAGGCATGAAATAAATTAAGTTATAGTAGACACGAAATCGTAATAACAACAATAATAGTAGTTGCAACAATATTAGCAATAATTGTATAATTAAGAATGAAACAAGGGCAGATTGTTTTTTTATTTATCATGTCATCACTTCTAGGTCCACATTGTGCTTTTCGAGCTTTTGTTCCTTTTCTAGAAATTTTTTTGATTTACTTCTCCAGAAACTAACTATATAACGCAGTATTTTGAAAAAGCGCTTTTTGCAACTATGATTCACACTATGCTCAATTTATATATAAAGGAACCTGAACTGCTTGGGAGCAGGATCTGGATCATTTCCAGTGCAGCCAAATGCACCACCGCAAACCATGCAGGTGATGATAACGGATCTACTGGCTCGTCAATCTGAATTCTTACAAATTCATTCACTTCCATGCTGAGAAGTTGCGAATGTAATCCATGAGTAAAAAAGTACTGGAACTTTTGAAAGAACAGATTTGACGGATAAGTAGTTACATGGATTAGAGGAAGGGTACATCGGTGTGTCTTCGCGACAAGCTGCTGTGGAAAAAGTTTTTGCCTTGATGCAGTAACCGTTTAGTTCATCAGGCATTTAAAAACTGGCTAAATTTGGATTCACGATTTTACAGGAGTCAGTATTATCGCCTTAAATTTGAAATTTAATTTTTAGATCGAGAGGAATCGCTGTCACTCAGGATTGCACGGATCACATTTTGAAAGAGGCATCTAGAATTTGAATTGTATTACTCGTTTCGTTCCAGTGTTTACAACATCAAGATAATTGATAAGGTCTGTTTCGAGTAAAAACTGTAAGGTTCCATTGGGCTTCAACGGTTCACATCTGGTTATTAAATAGTCTGGCTACTTAAATTCGGAGTCGTTTTTTTACCTTCAATTTTCTTAACTTCTTGAATCGTTCAAATATAACTCAAAGATTTCAAATTTAGCGTCCAGGTACGCGTGGTCCCCGCGTGCGGCTCCTGAGATTTTTTGGCGGGAA